GCGGCGGGGGCGGGACGGCCGCAGGAAGCACCGACGCTCCTTCCACAAAGGCCAAATGGTGGCAGGAGCCGCGGGAGGGCGGCAGGAAAGGGCTCCCCCTGAATCCCGGCCGCTCCATCCTGGCTCTGCTGATCGCTGCCGCTCGGTACTTGCGACCCATGGATAAGCTGCATTTTTAATAGCAGGTTTTGCTGGGTTTAATAAACGTGTGTTAGTCTGGGCTACGAGCAGGTGGATGGGACTGGAGGAGCGTAAGATTGGTCGCTGTGCATATTGCCGATTGAGCTCGCGAATAGGTGCAGTTAATAATTTCTGCCCTAGTTAGGCCTGGAATTTTTCGAACTGTGTTGGAATGCTCGTTTCTAAAAGCATAGGTGGGAGCCTTATGCAGTAGTTTTCCACTTTATTTTTGATGTGGCTAAAATTCCACAGTTCGGGCAGTTAACTGCAATGTGGGAAATTCCATTAACATTTAAATGATGCTGTAATTTCAAAATTCTAAAGTGACCCCTAAACACGTACTAGGAAGGGAAGACAGAAAGTAATCCACTAGAGATATAATTCATAGTGATTTGCAGCTACTGTGTCTTCTATAGTTGTTTTTTTTTCCTGACAGATTGTAAAAATTACACCTAATAACCTTACATTTTGTACTTCTTCCTGACGCTTAACACAGTGTGCCCAGAAATCATACAGGGCAAAAGTCAAAGCCTCCACAGTTACTTCTGCAGGAATCCTTTGAAGTATCTAATAAAGAAATTAAAATTGAAAACTTCTTGACTTCATCTCCTTCTAGCAAAATATTGGACTTCTAAACCACAAGTAACAGTACTATATTTTTTATCCAGTGCTTCTAATTCTGTTGGGTTCGGGGTTTTTTACCTAAAGTGCTGAAATCTAAAACTTTTCAAGATTTTATCTTGCTTAGCGTTGTGAAGTTGTTTTAGCATTAAAGAATCCTAAAACTCTAAAACATGTGTTTTTATATTTAGTGTATAGAAAATGCAGTGACTGCACACATCTCCCTGTGACCTAACAAGTACACTTAAATGAACCTCAGTAGTGACCACCTGAAGTGCTGCTGTTTCAGAGCAAATAGGTTATGAATCTTCATTTATCTCTTTATTGGGGTTTTTTTATTTTCTAATTATTTACAGATAGCGTGGATATCATTATACTGGGAAAGAAGTCAGCTTCGAGGAGGAGGGAGATGTTAATGTGTTTGTTGCTGTGGGTTAGGTTTGGTTTGCTGAGGTCACGGGCGTTTTACTGCTGTTTTACTGCATTTTTACAGTTCCGAGGTTCTGTAAGCGGAGGAGCCCTTTGCTAGCATCAGGCTATGAGTTGCTATGTAAGATGAACTGTAGGCGTTTACTTGCCCGTCTGTCTGAATGTAAGATTGCCTTTCACTATGTATTATTTTAAGATTTGTGCAATAATGTGTGAACTCTGGGTTTTTGCTCACCACGGGCTGTGTTGTGCAGCCGGTGCTGATCCTTGCTCCTGCGGTGCATTTGTGATTTGTGCTTTGCCGTAGCTGGGTCAGGTGTCTGTGTGTGTGATGTGCACAAACCGGCCTGTCACATCCACTGCTGCCTGCGGGCTCTGCGCCCCTGCAAGGCCTTCCATCCTTGGAATTTGGAACTGTTTGGTGCTCCAGGTGGAGGGGAGACCTCAAGAGCATGGATCGTGCCATTCCCTCCACACTTCCCAGCCTAGCCCGTAGTTTACTGTCACTTCAGCCTGTTCACGTTTCCCAGTTATGCCCTGAGCTAATCCATGATTTAGTCCATGTGGTCTCTTGCCATACTGCAGATGTTGCTATATCAGGGGTTTGGTGGAACTGCTGCCACATTGAACATTAGACACAATCACAGGACACCTTGTCAACTGCCTTCTCATACTGGTTTTATGTATGCTGAAGAAGAGGAAAGCTGGAGAATTAAATAAAAATCTAACTGCTTTTGCAGCCTGTAAGCGTTAGGGGATAATTGTGAAATGTAGTTCATCACAATGCATGGTATTCTCTCTCCTGATTATGTAATTTTGGAGATGACTGCAATTGTAAATTAGTGTTCAATAACCTGAGGAAGTAGCAGTGCAAGTCCTTATCCTAAAGCCTAATGCTCAGAGGATCAGCATTCTGCAATACTCATTTACAAAATATAATTTCCACATTTTATGTGTTCACAGGTAAAACTGTTAGGTCCTCTTATTTCAGTGTATTTGTGAATTTTAGGGGGTTTAACCCACATTGATCTGCTTTAATAGAATTTACCACAAATAATTTTAAAATTTGTATTGAATTGTGTACTTAATGCTTCTGGTTAAAAAAATAAAAACCACCACATAGTAATTAAATACTCTGATTTTGTTTTGTTTTTCCTCTTAAGTTGCCTCATCCTACCTCGGTGGATGGCTTGGCCTCTGGGATAGTCCAAGACTCTTGGATGACCACGCTTTATGCAAAATCCAGAATCTTCCTGCCTGGACTCCTCTCTGTTTTCTAAGGGTAACTACTTTGTATGTTTTTATGAAATTGTATCTTATGTGCATAGGACATGTTCTGATAATGGGCTGCAGATGTTATATGTGGATTAGAATGGTAAACTGAAATATGTCTTTTAAAAATGAGATATATAATATAAACTGAGGTAAAAACTTTGGTTTGAGTATTCTGAATTTCCTTGATAAGGAGGGAATTATTACAGTTCAATAAAACATTGCTTTAAGATCACATTCTTATTGGAAATTACTTAAAACTAAGATGTCACTCTTATGGTAAGATCCACTCTTCAGCTGCTAAAATTGAGTGTTGCAGTTCTGTCTTTTGAGAAGGATACTGAAGTAAAGTTGTGTACTACAAGAGAAAATTCAATGATTTCTGATATGGTTATTGAAAGAATAAATGCACAGTCTTCTATCAGGAAAAGAGCTTTTTTTCTTGTTTGCTTTCACTGTTAGGTCCAGTTTTTTCTGTTAAAAGTATGGGCATGCCAATTTTTAACATTTAATAAGCTGTAACTTCCTTTATTAGCAGATCTTTTAGATCACTGTAGCCCTAAAAGGTGTGTCAGTGTTATGTAGGGGAATGCATCTCGTATCTCTGTTGGAAGCAAATGTGGGATTGAGAACTGTTAGTTGACTAGAACAAGCTGTGAAGAGGTCTGGCATTGCATTTACAGCTGTAATGATCTTTTGTTTCTCCAGTGAAATGCTTTGGTGGAACCATGGTGGTTTGGTTCTTGTTGTTTCCTTTATGAGTCTTAGGTTCTCATTTAATTATAGTTTAGTTTTACTATGGGTGTTTCTAGGTTTAGTAACTCTTGATTATGTATTAGCTTTTGCCAACTACTATTGATTCTTAGTTTAAATTATTCCAGGCCCTTCTTCCACTAAAAAAAAATAAATCCACCTAAAATGCCTTGCTAAACACACTCCCATTGAAAATATACACATGAGATTTATTAATAAATGTAGAACAAGATACACAAGTGGCAGGCAAGAGTGATAGTGGCTTAGTTTGGGGTTTTTTATGGGTGGAAGTTTCTCTCTACTGAGCACTGGAACCCACTTGTTGTAGCTGTGGAAGGTACAGATCCTAACAGAGTTCCTTTTTCGGAGGGAAATGCCATGCTCTGAAACTCAGCTGCCACAGTTTGTAAAGCAAAGCTCTTATCAGTGCTTTGTGAAATGAAATGGGAGTAAGGAACTTAGAAAGATGTCCTTAAGTGCAGGAATTTTCCAGATCTCAGTAGACATAACATAAACAAGTTGTTGTGGGGGGTTTCAGACTGACTTCTAAATCAAAGTAAAACTTCTTTCCAAGTGCTTCCTAAACATCATTTCAGCTCCTAAAATATTTGTGTATGACACAGGTTTATTTTCCACTTCCACACATAGTCAATGACAGTGGGAAAATTATTAATTCCAGAATAATTCTGTACTAAACTCAGTCTCCCTCTCATTCCTTTCCTGTACCTAATGAATGCTATTCAGCCTAGTGTTACTTTCAAAATATGGGGAAATCCTTAGGTGTGGGGTTTTTTCTGTTTTGTTTGCAGAGTTGTTGTGTGTGTGTTTGTTTTGGGTTTGTTTGTTGTTTTTGCTGGGGTTTCTTGAGTCTGAACAGTAGCATATCTTAGTCCTGTGTTCCAGTTCTTTGTACCAGACTGTGGGTGTGTTGTAGGTCAGGATTTGTTGACCAAAAAGTTGACATGAAGTCTTCTTTCTTTGAGCAGCCATTTTCTGGTGATTTCTGACTGCTGTGGAGAAGCTGTTGCATAGGAGTTTAGGTATGGGAGTGAGCTGGTAGGACTGCACTCCTCCCTGTGTGCACACTTTTAGTCACTTGTGCCTTCTCCAGCAGTTACTCATCTTGGATAAACTGGGGCAGGGCTGAGGGGGGTGGGGAGGCAATGGACTTGAACACACTTCTGTATCTTTGGAAGCATCTTCAGGTCTAAACTTTTTCCATTTGGTGTTTCCTAAGGCATTTAGTCCTTCCCTCATTGCTCAGGGTAGCAGGCAAGATGTAGTGTGGGGATCTCCAGCTCAGAGATGTTCTGTGTGCTCTGACAGCTTACACTGTTATGTAAGGCATGTCCAAGTGATCAGCACTAAGCCTGGATGGGAGGAAGGGATTTGTGCTGTGTCTGTTAACTGCACCTTCAGCCTTTCCATTTCCTTGTGCACTTTCTACTACGTGAAATACCAACAGCCAGTCCAGCGCTTAATTAAATCTGCTTGTGAAGTTGTGTTGCCTAAAAATGTGTGTCAGGTAGGGGAAGGATTATCATTAAAAATGGTGTACAGCATACATCAAATAATTCTGGGGAACAGCTGTAGCTGTTGGGGTGTTTGTCTTTCCTTTGCCCTTCTGCAGATGGATGTGTGCTTGTGAGATGTGTCCATGGAAAGAGGGGAAAGCAGAGCACCAGGTTATCAGCCAGCCTTGGTCAGTCCCTAACACAAATCTACAGCCCAGAGAGTCTGTCTGTCTTTACCCTTACATGGTTTCTATAGTTACAAGACAGAGGAGACTTTGAAAGGGAATTGCCCAAATTACAATAGCAAGGAGTCTCTTAATTTTGATTCTAATACCTAAGTTACGTTACTGCAAACTGGACAGGCAGCTTTCACTCATGAGGTGCTTACACACCTGCAAAGCTGGTAGTTTTGTCCTGTAAGAAAAAGTAGTATTTCAAAATTTGAGGCAATCTTGTTCTGAAAAATACAGCAGTGTGGCTGTAGAGAAAGGATCAAGCAAGTTTGAATTTAGTAATACTTTAAAAAGAAAAGCTATAAGGTACCACTGTGAATTCAGTTATCTTTACCTGGATCGTAAATGCCAGGTACAAGGCCAGATACTTTATTGATGATCTTGCTATTTAAACATATTTAGTGGTAGATAAATAACTGTTGTGTAGTTTAATACAGTGCATGAGAAGTTTGTGTTCAGACAATACTAACCGTGGCAATTCTGTTTCATACACTCATTTTTAAGCTCTTCCCTACTAAAAATTAAAGCTCTGTGAGGTCCTAAGTTCTAAACATTGTTTAACTTTTTAGTTCTCCCTCATATTCCAAAAAAGTTTTTAAGTAGTAGTTTGCCCAGCTATAAGTAATTGAGGGTTTTCACATGTTGCTTTATTCCTTGAGAGTGTTCCCAGCTGTACTTGAGCCATGTGTCAGTGGCAGCTGCACTGTCAGGCCGTGTGACAGATGGAGCTGAAATGGTGGCACGGGCCCTGCATTGTCCACAACACGTTGCAATGTGAATTTTTCTTGGTAGCCTGGAATGTTTCTTCTGAGTAGCTGCGCCCTGACCAGGCCTGTTTGTTTGGTATTGTGTGGATTTGCCAACCAGGGACGTGATTCCTCCCTCCCAAGTTTTTTCAAACCCTGGTATGGTGTAGGATTACAGTGCTTGGGTGCTTCTTCCCATCTTAGCAGGGAGGAGTTGCAGTGAAATGTCCTCCATGGAGGACTGGAAGGAACTGGGGAACATGCTGAATTTCTAGATTCCATTGTAGTTCAGTGATGTGAATAGAGAGTTTGGTGCTCCCAAATACTGAGTTCACTTTGCTTCCTTTTCTCCCTGTCTGAAAAATTATTTTCATTAAAAAATTCTGCCATAAACGGGCTGTGGCTCAGTTTGCATTGCTATAATGGGAGAGGATGAGAAGATGCCAGGAAAAAAGTTGAGATGTGTTGCTCCTTATTGTTTCTGTGTTTTTCATGACAAAAGATTTTAAAATAGATCATCTGAAGAGAAAAAAAATGTTGTGACAGAAAAAAAAATTGTTGTGGAACTTTTTCAAGTTCAAGAAGAGGGTGACTTAGAGTTTGCTGCTTTTATAATTGAACAGCTATGTGAGGACCTTACATTTGAAGTTGGCATAAACTTTTCATTTTTATTTCGTTTATTTACTTACAAATCACAGAGTTATCAGATTGGCACATCCCAAAATCCTGTTAGTTGACCCAGTTTTGTGTGATGTGAGTAGGTTCCTGGAATTAGGCTGGAGTGAGGAGAGTGCAGTTTTTGGAGACTGCTCTAGTGTGCCCAGATTGTGCTGCTCTGAGCTGACACTGCTCCTCTCTGAGCAGCAACGGGGGATTTGTGTGTGCACGGCTGCTTGTTTGCCTCACCACCAAAAACTGAAGTGGGATAAGCATTGCATAATTAAATAATGCCATCAGCATCTTCTGCTGCAAAGTAATGCTGTGAAAGAGAGCATCTGACTCTGAATTTTGGGTTCGGGATGAGGTGTCAATGGCAGTGCTACAGCAGAACAAGGTACTTAAAAATACACAAGTGTGTTAAGGATCTGATCCCATCAGAAATTCTTGTGTTAGAAAGTAAAGCAAAAGGCCTGATAAAATGTAGATTAGCTGCTAACAAAGGGGCTTTGTGTCTTTTGTAGGTCAGCAGCTGAGTGTGTTTGACAAGAACTGAAATTTAATGTCTCCTGTAGCAACCATGACACCAGTCATTTTAAAATCCACTGTACCAATGGTACTCTGGTTTTTATTAGCCTTTTACAAATTTTTGTGTAACCTCTGAAGTCGTCTTGCTCCTGGAGGGGAGAGTAGAGGATCCTTCATGTTAGGAAATAAATCAATGTTAGACAGAATTTCTAAAATGTAAGGTAGTATTATGTTTGTTTATTTTAAAAACACATCTTGGGAGTGGGAAGTATGTTAAGTAGAAACATTTTGAAGTTGGAGGAAATAGTGGTTCTTGCACTTCATTTTCATAGTCAAGTGCTGTCATGCTCAAGCATTGTTTCATGTTTGTAAAATGCTCTGGGACAAATTTTATGAAGGAAATTTGAGGAATAAAAAGGGGGTGTCTGCCTATAACGAGCATGAAGTATTTAGTCTAACAAGACTACTGTTTGAATTGAAAAGTAAAACATGTCATATTAAGTTGTTTCTGTGAAATTATACATCCTTGCATGTCATAGTCTGCTTGCTTACAGAATTTAAATACTAGCAAATTTTTGAGATGTTAGGAATTAACATCATTTTTATAATTCAAAGAGATAAGAATAGTATGTCCTGTGTGTCTAACAAAGTATAAATGTGTATTTTAAAAATATATTAAGAGCAGTAAATTATCAAAACCAAGCATTCTGAATGTGTGATATGTCAGAATTGCTGTTTCCTGTGTGGTCATATCTTCATTCCCTTATGGGTGTAAATTTTGGTCTGTTTAATTAATTGAGAGGAAAAGAAACAAACCCCACTAGTGTGCAGTGTATGGGAATGATGGTGCTTAGTGAATGAAGAGCTGTTTTGTTGCATAACTTTTGTTCTTACAGTGATGCTGTGAGGTAATGCTTGAGGTAGTACACAACATTTAAATGCTACTTGAATGGAGAGTTCTCAATTTTATTGTGAGTTTATGATTTGCATAAATTGTTTCCACTACGACAGTCGGTATATTTATCTGTAGTCTACTTGTACCACATAAATGTGATTTTCCATAGATTGTGTCAAAAATTAGCAGTTACTGACAGCGTTGTCAGTAGTTTGAGGATCCTTCAGACACACACATTGCCTCCCCAGAATGCTTTTATATTTTCTGCCTGGACTTTGTACCCATATTTGTTCTGATTTTGTTGTAATGGAGTGCTCAGTACTGGCTGGGTCTGTTTGCTCTTAATGGGCTGCTGGAGTGGGAGAGGGATACATGATCGGTGTGGGATGATGACCCAGCTGAGCAGGTACACCACTTCCAGACACCTTCTGGTTTTTAAAGAGATTCAGCTCCTGCTCTGGCACTTCAGCAGAAAACTTCAGAGAAAAACAGAGTTCCAAAGTTAAAAAGTTGCAGAAGTGGTAGGATTACAAGTAATTAAAAGTTTGTTGCTGTTTCAAGAGTGAAGATAGACCAGGCTGCTCCCTGCTAAGTAAAAATGCAGTCCTAGGACAAATTGAATTTTGTCCAGACATGTCCTTAAAAGAGCAGAAAGTGTTTACTATTGAGAAGTGTGACACCTAAAGTCCTGCAGCAGCTGTTTTCTCTCATGGGTCTTGCTGAGGAGGATGCACTGCTTGCTTGCTCTCTGTTTCTCCAGAGGAGCAGAGTTCTCCAAAGCCTTGTCTGGGCACATGGGCATAGCCATGGAGCCCTGCAGATCTGGAGAAACCCTGAAAGTAAAAGAGGCTTTCTTCTGCTGCCTTCTCCTTGTCCCCAAAAGTCCAGCAAGAGGCGAGCAGCTGGCAGCTGCAGCCATCAGCTGAGCTGTGCTGGCAGCACCCAGTGCTCACATGAAAAGGAAGTTGGGAGGCCCTCAGCAGCATGCAGGGTCTGGATCACTGTGCATGAAGGATCTGCCACCGGTGTCTAATTCATGATTGCTTAATTTTTTTAATAGTTTGGGAACAAGGTGTCTGTATTCATGGACACGTTAGGATGTGTGTAACTAAGATTTTACCAGTGTTTTCTGTGCAGAGTACACTCCTTTTCTGTGTTTATATGAGTGATTGCATAGGGCTTGTTGTCCCTAATAAAACTCTTTAGACTTGGGATGGTAATTGCAAAGTACCCAAGCAGGTATTTGGATTTTAGATCTGTGTGTACGGGTTTTTTTACCACATTGTTCTAGACCTACTGTATTTCAGGGCAAGAGCACACAAAGCAGAATGAAAGCAACTAAATTCTATTTTTTTCCCTTCCCAAATGCTGTTTGATAGAACATCCTGCCTGATGTTCTTAGTGTGAAGTCAGTGGCAGGTTGTGAACCCATTGTGTATCTGTGAGCTCAGTGGCCCAGCCAGATTTCCTCCCACATTTAACCAAACTACCAAGATGTGGAATGGATATAAGGATCCCATGGGAGGCCCTGATGTTGGTCTTGCTGTAAAACAATTGTGGGTCACCAAATGAAAAAAGAGAAGAATCAGCCCTACATAAAACTCTATATATGTTCTATGTATTTTCTCAGAGATGTTAGAGCAAGACATTAGAATGGCTTAATGAGATCAAAATGGGTGTTGAAAACTAGCTTGAAATCTTACCTGCTGTACCCAGGAATGAATGTTAAAATGGAAATGATTAAATATTCTGTCATTTGATCCTTAATACAAGCATCTATTTTATTTCGTGTGGATAGTCAGATATACTTAGAAGTATATAGCTTTATAAAAAAAGAGTTAGTATATTTCTTCCATGTTTTCTGTTTAGGAAAAAAGTTGCCATGAAACAATATAGCTGGAAAGTGCCTCTTTTCAGTGGAAGTACTATTACCTCTTGATGTTCTGTGACATCAAAAGTCTCAGCTAACCAGTACATTGTACACTAGAGGGTTTTCAGAATTGTCTGTTGGGCCTGCCCAAGGTTAACTCAGGATTTTTGTCTTGCAGGTTCATGTTGGGGAGAGGCCTAAAGCGCAAGCTGAGTGACTATGAGGAGAGCATGGCTGGTCTCTCGAGTGCCTTTGACTCCAGCCGAGGTCTGTCCTACCCCCTCAAGAGGCAGCTGGTGCTCAACATGTGCCTCACCAAGCTGCAGACGTACAAAATGCTGGTGGAGCCCAACCTGCACCGCTCCGTGCTCATCGCCAACACCGTGCGCCAGATCCAGGAGGAGATGAGGCAGGAGAGCAGCCAGCAGCCAGTGAGCATCTGCCCTGGCATTGCTCCTGCTGCTCACAGCTACCCAGGGATGGAGGCCCCTGGCATCTCCCTGCAGCTGCCCGCAGGTGTTGGTCAGCAGGAGTCCCACTGCTGTGAGCTGCGCTCCGTGGAGGACCCCATCGAGAGCAGCCTGCTGATCGTGTCAGATGATGACATGTCATCTGCTATTTCATCTATTCTGAAGGATTTAGACTTTGTGGAAGATATCAGCCCACCTACCTGTCTGGTTCCTACTGGAGATGACCAGCCAAAGTTTCCAGAAAATACTGGTCTGAAACTAGAAGATGACAGACAGGATTTGAAGGGAGCTGAATGTGTGTTTGGTTCCTTTGAGATTTCAAATTCAACCAGTTACTTGAAGGATTTGGCAATAGATGACATATTTGAAGATATTGACACTTCAATGTATGATTCAGACTTTTGTTGCCCTCCCCTGATGCCGCCCAGATCACCATCTCTTGCTACAGAAGAACCATTGAAAACCTTCCCATCTTGTAATTCTTCTTCAGCAAACAACATTCAGATATGCAGAACAGATCTGAGTGAGTTGGACCACATCATGGAAATTCTCGTTGGATCCTGATACTTGTTTTACCCAAAGATACTTTTAGACTGCCACTTGTATTTGGTTTCAGGATAAAAGCCACTGGAATAGTTGTAAAGAATTCTTTTAAAAGCAAACTAAATAATAATTTGTCCATAGTAGAATTTTCTAAATAATTCCAAAACTCACAAACCAAAAAAGTGGCAGATTTTAAAAAAGAAAAAATTATTTATCAGAACTGTGCAATCATCATTTTCCTTCCAGGGTGTATGTGGAACAATGGGCACATACCCTCATCACCCCTCATGCCTCTTTCAATAAACTTTTTTATGTGCAATTTTTAATTTGACAGAAGAATTTACATGCAAAGCAAATTTCATATGAGGTGATCTTTTACAAAGCCTCCACTTTATTTTTAATATCAGAGTCTATGCCAAGCTGGCATCTGTCAAGTTGCAGAGTTAGATTGTGTGGATTGCAGACACGTTCTTAGAGATGGGTATATTTTAAAAATGAGACACGCTTTGCTTTCTTTTGGTCAGAAAAGCAGATCAAGACACTTACCAACAAAGTCTCTTGCATTTTCTAAAGCATTCAGAACTATTTATTTTTGTAAATTTTATAGTCTTTCTACATTTTACTACGTTATTTCATCATAGTTCAAATATAATGGACTTCTAGTTGGATGTGTTTAGCACTACCTCTGAGCTGAAATGCTTTAACTCTTTCCAGTGCTTCATCTGAGACTGCAAATCTTTTTGTTTCTGTTTCTTTCTGGGGGAAAGTACTTCTAACTCATTAAGTTGATCCTTTGACAGTGACCTAGCTGATTTGTGAAATCAAGGGTATTCAATGTTTAAAAACTTTTAAGTATTTACAAATTAATTTATATGTAGATTGTGCAATTTAACATTTTTCTGTCAGTATTATGTGCTTAGATTTTGAATAATCTTGGCGTTCTTTAAATTAAAATTTACTATGTACAGGTAGCTTTTTATTCTCTTTTGGAAAACACTGTCCTTCAACCCTGCTTTCACTACAGATTTTAAGATGATTTTTTTTATGTGCAATATTATTTAAAGAGATACACATTTTTATACCTGGCATTGGTGGGAAGAAACGCTTCAAACTTACAACCTCTAGCACCTTTGGAGGATACTCACTCAGCCAACATTTCTGCATCCTTTGAGAAGCCAAGCTGAGAGCACTGAGAACACATCACCCTGTGCTGGGACAGCCCTGGGGACCCACCCACTGCTGGGGGCTCTGGGCTTTATCTGGTTTTCCATCAGGCAGGTTGGGTTCTGTGTTTCAGCCTGAACCGAGGGCTAGATCGATCCCTGTTATCGTCTTCTGAGTTTCACACTTGCACATTGCTTTTTGGGTTGGATTTTGTTTTTATTTTTTCCTTCTTTTTTTTTAATTATAAAACTTTTACTTTGTTCTTGAAAGCTGCGGCACCTATCTTGGAAACTTGCAGTTGTAAAACCTTTGCTACGGTTTGTTGTATTTTTTGGGGTTTTGTTGTTCTGCTGAGACTTTTTATGAGCGGAGTGTCGGCAGAGGGAAAAAAATGTTGCCTGTGTGTTGCATCTCACCGAAGTTGAAATCCTGGCCCTGTTGAAGGGGCCAGGGTGTCACCTGGTATTTCTAGTCTTAACTGATGCTGTGGCACACCTGCCTTGTGCAGAGATCTCCATTTTTTACTGTGACTCTCTTGGTTAACAGTTAGCTGCCGACAGAATTTGGTATCCCAGGCCAATGGAGAACCATTTCAGGTCACATCCTCGCAGCCATCTGGGTTGTTCAGCAACTGAAGGGTATAAATGTATTTATATGCATATATTGTATTGATTCTAATATAAAACTTCTGATCTAAAGCATTTTGAATTGCTGGATAAAGGGATTTGTTTGAAGAGTGTATAACTAGTTCTTGAAGAAGTACAGCTTCAGAATGTACACAGATTGTGCATTGTGTATAGACTACTCTGGCTTTTCCTCAGCCTCTACTTTTGTATTAAAAATATGACTGAATAAATCCTTGAAATATTAAGGGCCTTCTGCACTGTGATGAAACAGAGATGCGGTTAAAAATGTCTTTAAATTCAGTGATGAGGGATAAAAAGACTGCATCTAATCTCTTTTTGCATTTGAAAATATGGAATGTTACTATGCAGTAAAGATATTTTGGTATGAAAATTGTATCATATAGCAAATAGTGAACGCTTAATAAATCCACTTACCTTGCAGTCTCTACAGAAACAGAAGACAACTTGCTTTTCAACATTTATGTACTAAAGTTTTTTGTATACTGCAGCAAAAGATTTAATTGTTGGTAGATCTTTTATCAACAATTCAAAATGCAATTTTGTACAAGTCCTGGCTACAGAGCTCTGTTTCTAATTGGTTGCTTGTGTCACAGTGCCAAGACCATGAGCTGGTGTGTAATGCAGTTCGGTTATGTTTGGAATTATGTGCAAAGGGAAGTTTAATTTTTAAATATGCACAAATTAATTTTAAAATCCTTCCATGTAAAATGAAGTTAGAGGCTAGTTGTGGTGGACCTATTTATTGTATGTTTGGAAATAAAAGCCACAGTTTTGCATTTAAACCAGTTATATTTTGGAGCCTTTGGTATGTGACTGTTTTAAAAACAAAGCATAAAAAAAAAAAATCTATGGCACCCTGCCACCTTTTCTTTGGTCTTTCACTCACAAAGACATAGCATTTTCCCAAGGCATTTGAATCTTTTTTTCCTTCTCCACTTGCCTCCTCTCCCCCATCCTGTGTCCCTAGAAATAATAAACACCTTACAGACCTGTACAGAAATAATTACCAATCCCAGGCCCCATAACAGGGTTCCACATGAGGTTTCCACGTACCCTGAAGGATGGATTCCTTTAGGGAAGCACCACAGCTTGAGCTGGGCACCTCCAAAGAGGGACTGTGAACACTGAAATTCCTGGGCAGTTATGCCTGTAACAATAATAATTCAGATTATTAATAAGGTCTGAGGCTCTTCATGGTGTTTGCTCCATTGCTCAGTGGTCATGGCCTTACGCAGCATCTCATCCTCCCAGTTTGGAATTTGGAATCTTCTAATAATGTTACACTCATTGACCACAATCCATAGGTTTTCTCTACTTCAGCTATTGATACCTAAGCTGCAGCTTTGCTTGGCTCTTGGGTTTTCACTGAAAAGCACTACACCCTCACAAAGGGGTTTGTAACCAAAGCAGGGATGGCCCACAGGGCCTTTTCCAGCTGGTGGGGCAGGGGCATTCCTGTTGGGAAGAGGTGACACAGGATTTTGGCACTGAGCTGTCCTCTGGGCTCTGTCTCCAGTGCCCTGTGAGGGTCCCCAGACCCTGCAGCTCTTGTGTCCCTTCAGGGGCTGCTGTGCCTCAGAGCAAGTGTCACATACAAGTGTCCTTGACACACATAGTGGTGGCTCTTCAGGCTGGACCAAAGCCCTGCCTCTCTGGGATGGTGAAAGGCTGCTTGTAAAATCAAACCAGCAGCTTCAGGTTTAGAGTTTTCCCTCTAAAAAACTCCTCCTCTATCCTCTTCCTATTTTGGACCTCTAAGATCCTGACCCTTCTGCAATGAACTTTTAAGGTTTGAATTGAGGCACCATCACCACTTCCCCTCATTTTTAAGTGTTTAAATAGAGATGAACCTCTTAAGGTTCATCTTGACATCAAGCTCCTCCATTTTAAGGGGAAACATGTTTATAACATATAGATGTAGGCATAACTTTCACTGATGAGACTGCCTGTGGTGGTTTGACCAGGAAGGAGTGGGAATTCTGGGATGCTGTGGTCAAACATGACACTGCCCTGGGTGCTGCTTACAGAATTCCCCTTCCCCTTGCCATGGAGCTGCTGCCCACAGTGTGCAGAGCCCGGGTGTAGAAGGAGCTGCTCGCAAATCCAGTGCTGTGCCCACCAGTGCCATCAGCTCCTGGAGTGACTCATTGCTGAGGAAGCTGCTGTGGATGCTGCAGCACAGAGCTCAGCCTGTGCCTGTGGCAGCAGAAAACGCTGCCTTTCAAGGGTGTGCTGCAGTTCAGTGCTTTAAGGAAATATTTTTGGAGCTTTCAGTGGTGTAGGCTTTCATACATTGATTTTAGCCACGCTGAAAGGTCTGAACTTACGGCATTCAGAGCAGCCTCAAAGAGCTGCTGGGCAGGGCTGGGTGCTGCCCAGGTGCTCTGTCCAGCTCTGTGATCTGTCTGCTAGAAGGGACACTTTAAAAAACTAATTTTCCAGCACAATCAACAATAAAATACACAAAATTAAATAGCTTACCCATTAGTTCTGGGAGGAAGATGAGTTATAAATTAGCAGCAAAACTAATTTTGAGCTGTTTAAAGTCAGTGTTAGAAGTGAGGCATTAAGCCCTGAAGTGTGTCTGTAGGAAAAGTAGAAGTTTGGGGAAGCTGGAGGATTTTTGGCATTTCAGGATTTGCCCAGCATTCACAGGCATCTCGCCTTGAGTGAAAAAAGCAAAATATGTTGCAACTTCATTCCATACATTTTTCCCTCATCAGGGCCTGCTTATCCCACCCAGCAGAGCTCTAAGCCAGGCTGGCTGTGCTCTGGCATCCAAGCTGTGCTGTGGGAGGCAGTTTAGGAGCTTCTCAGACATATTTCAATAGAAGGAGCAAAAACTTTTTCTCTCTTGAATCTTCCAGAGGGGATCTGGAAAGTTAAACTTGGATCCACAGGGAACTTTGGGAGTTCACTTAATTTGCAGGTAGCCCAGTTTTGGCCAAATTCCTTTTGCAGTGTTAACTGGAGTAGGATACTCCAGGAAGTCCCATTTTTTAAACTATTAAAGCTGATCTTCATTATTCAAAAATACCAGAGTGCTTTTATATCCTGAAATGACCTTGCATTTTGAAAAAAAATCTTTAAAATTTTTTTTTTTAATTTGTTTTTCACTCCATCTTCTGCATATGCAACTTATAGTATGGTTAGAAATCATTCTGGAGTCTGACTGTCCCCCCTCTTTTTCTTGACTCTTTTAAAAAATAGTATATTAATTAAATTCCACATTTTATAATGTGCATTGAGAAATTTTCAGTCTTTGAACTACGGTGAAGTTGGTTTGAGAGGGTTTTGTCTGAAGAATGTTTACAGCATTCCTTCCACAAAGGAATTTGTAATTTCAGTAATTACACTGCTGATTGGAACTTTGTAAAACTGTTCTGTGGGTATATTTTCCCTCTAATCCCAGCTGAAGAAAGAGGCATTCCTGTCCAAAACTCCTCTCATTATCCCCTTTTAAAAATCCTTAGCAAATGTCAGGAGCCTGCAGTGTTTGCTTTCCACAAACACAGAGTACAGTGACACGTTCAGTTCATCAGAACTCGGGATGTCACAGCTGAGAGCTCAGAACTCAGGTTAGAAATGGTGAAATTTGGAGCTTTAAATGTGCTGAGGTACAAAGTGATATTAACTCTGCGTGCCACTTCCAGAGCACAGACACTGGGTGCCCCTGGTGTCCCCTTTGGGGACACAGTGTGTGCTAACACTTTGGGGACACAGCGAGTGCTGGCACTCTGGGGACATGGTGTGTGCTGGGACCTTTGAGGACACAGCCTGAGCTGGCACTTTGGGGACACTGTGTGTGCTGGTATTCAGGGGACATGGTGTGTTCTGGCGCTTTGGAGACACAGCCTGTGCTGGCACTCTGGGGACAGCCTGTGCTGGCATCTTTGGGGACATGGAGTGTGCTGGCACTCTGGGGACATGGTGTGTGCTGGCACTTTGGAGACATGGTGTGTGCTGGGACCTTTGAGGACATGAAGTGTGCTGGCACTTTGAGGACACAGCCTGAGCTGGCACTCTGGGGACACTGTGTGTGCTGGCCTGTGGGGACACAGGCAGTGCTGTCCCTTTGGTGACACAGGCAGTGCTGGCACTCTGGGGACACAGCCTATGCTGACACTTTGGTGACACAGGCAGTGCTGCCCTTGGTGACACAGGCAGTGCTGGCCCTTTGGGTACACTGTGTGTGCTGTCCATTTGGTGACACAGGCAGTGCTGGTCCTCGGTGACACAGGCAGTGCTGGCACCCGGGCAGGCTGCCAGGCCAGCGGCAGGGACAGCAGCAGGGCCAGCAGCAGTGACAGCAGTGACAGCGGCAGTGACAGCAGCAGGGACAGTGACAGCAGCAGGGACAGCAGAGGAACAGCAGCAGGGACAGCAGCAGGGACAGCAGAGGAATAGCAGCAGGGACAGCAGCAGGGACAGCAGCAGGGACAGCAGTGACAGCAGCAGGGACAGAAGCAGTGACAGCAGCAGGGACAGCAGCAGGGACAGCAGCAGGGACAGCAGAGGAATAGCAGCAGGGACAGCAGCAGGGACAGCAGGGACAGAAGCAGGGACAGCAGCAGGGACAGCAGAGGAATAGCAGCAGGGACAGCAGCAGGGACAGCAGCAGGGACAGAAGCAGGGACAGCAGTGACAGCAGGAAGTGACTCAGGGTGTGAGCGGTCGCTGCTGGCGCTGAACGCGTCAGAGGCGCTTCCGGCACCCCTCGTTTCCCCGAGAGCCACGGGAGGCAGCGCTGTGTTTGTACCGTGAAATGTGCCTGAAAGTCTTGGCTACCCTTTGGTTTGTGTCCCTGATCTTTTGTCACTTGAGACAGTCCGGTTTTGTCTTTGTGGGTACCCCAAATGTGCCAGTCGTGTCCAGATTCCCACAGGGGCTGGAGGGCTGCCAGAACTGCCCAAACTTAAAGCTGAATTGAATTACTTTGCCATTTAAATTTTGCCAGTCTTTTCCCCTGGAATGGTGAATTTGTTATTCCAGACTGGAAATGGGAGTTACAAGGTCCCTCAGTGGTCTAATGCAGCCAGTGCTGACAGGTAGGGAGGGCTCAGGTGGCCCAAAGCACCTGCCCAAAAGGAAAAGACCTGGAAGGTGGAGCCCAGCACCTTTGGAACCCCTGTAGTTCACTTCCCTGCTGAATCACAAGGGCTGAACCCTTTTTTTTTCCCATTCTGTACTTTGGTCAGGGCTGTAAAATCTGCTAATATGAGGGGAAGATGACATATTCATCCTTCCCCCAGAGTAGCAGTGCCCAACAGTTTTCCATCCATTCATCCAGTGTTCACAAAAGCAAAGGCAGAGTTGGAAGCCCAGAGGAAAAGAGGGCTCTGATGCATCAGTGAATGTTATACACACTACAAGTTGCCCCCTAAAGCCCCTCTGCAGGCCTCTGCTTGTCTGAAGGCATAAAAATGGGA